ATAATTTTAATTGGGGAAATCAGCCTTCGAGAGGTTCCGTTAAACTTATCATACCACGATTTTACACTACCCTACAAAAAAAAGTATTGCAATAGCAAAAGCCTAAAAATTTGCAGAATTTATCGAAATTAATTTTCGATTTTGGTTTGTCAATAGCCAAATATCTCTTATTTATTTATTAGTATTTTTTAGCTAAGTAAATTAGTATTATTTAGCTAATTAGTATTTAGCTAAATAATATCTTAGCATTTTCTAAATAAACATAATTCAGCTGCGTGTTAAAGAAAGTGAAACTTATACACCCGTTCGAGTTAGTGCACGATTTTGAATTATTTTCCTATAGCTAATCGATATCCTTCTTACATAACGTTTCATTCTCTTTCCACTACAATTGCCATTTCATTTTCTCTTCGTTGTATATTGCTCCGTACGTTGTTATTTAGTGCTCGCGATTGAGACACACTCTTCATAGACTTACGGCTGAAACTTACCTCTCGAATGAGCGGTCGTTAATTTCGCAAAAAGTGTATTATCTCGTTACAAAAAAAAAATCATTTGCTAAGGTACACATATGTGTTTGGGCACGCCTGCTCTCGTGAAATTTTTTACACGCTCTCGCGAGAACAGACACGCGTTACGAAAGGGTACGATTGCGTAATCGCAGCTTAAGCGGATCGCTTTCCGTAATCGAGACGTTGCGGTCGATACCCGGGGGGACTTCCACGGTCGGCTGAAGACTGTTTCCCTCGCGAATTGACGCGATCGAACGGACACACCGCAAACAATCGCCGGCGGTTCTCAGGAGCGGAACGAAAGCAAACCTTCCACGGCGCGGGTACAATGCACCCTCGGCGAGCCTTATAATACCGGGGGTAATTAGAAGAGAATTGCTTTGTCATTTTCGACGTGCAATAGGGCACTTAACAAGCTCGTTCGCAATCTGCGCGCGGTCTTTGCCTCCCGTGTGTTCGGAATTTAATTAGATTCGTATAGCGTCTCTTCCCCACGAAAGAGGGGCGCTCTCGTCTGTGATATAATTGCACTTCACACTGGCACAACTTTTCTCCACTTCCGTGTTCTTCGAGGGAACCCGGACTTTTTACATCGTTACAAAATTTATAGGTTAGCGAGTATACGGGGGATAGAGATTTTAATTTCAATGGAATTGATTTTCTCGCGGGATCCATCGTTCTTTATTGAAAAAAAATAGAGGATATAAATTATTCTGTTCAAAATCGTAGTCGACGCATTATTATTAAAATAATGAGACGAATATGAATCGGCTGCCGCGCGCTCTTTCGTGCTTAACATCTTTTGTCGCGATTCCAAAGCGAAGCGTGTATTCAGTTACTCAATGCATATTCTACCATACTTGGGTATTCGGCTATCGCTATCCAGACACAGTGTGCAAATAATACCGTTACAGGAACACGACGTCCTGTACAGGCGTATCGTGTACACCTGGTGTCGTTGCCTCCTGACGCCGATCGTGTGAGGTGTTTTAACGAGCGAACTTCTGCCCGCTAAACTTTTTCTCTCTCGCGCAACCGTTCTTGCGTAAGACGTTCCGGAGATCCGATATCGATCCCCGTTGATGTTCGCCGCGCATTAGCCATCCGATACCGTTATAAATAACGTTCATCACTTTTTGAACGTTAACAATGTGTTCAATTGCTACGCCTAGTCGCGCAACGATACCCACACAGTGGACAAAAAGGAACAGATCCATTGGCGAGAGAAACAGAGAGACCGTATAGCCACGGTATCGCGGTTATTATTCGCGCGCCTGCAATCAGAATGAGTGGGAGAATTTATCATAGTCCAAGACTTAAAAACTCATGCGGGGAACTCTCAACAATCGAATCGTTTGTTTTGAAAAGTGCATGAGTCAGTACAATTGAATTTCATAACAGAGAGGCAAAGAGATATAGCGGAGAATAAATTATACTTCGTGCCCGCGTATTTGCTTATTAGATCCGGATTGATTAAGTTAATATTTGCTAAACTTCGCACTTTGTATACCTACTTCATTAATTTAAAAAAAAATTGTTATTTTAACGCTTTAATATATCACGTAATTTCCACGGTTATATACGGAGAGAGACATATTTTGCACGATTGATCAATAAACATTGAATTAAATTGAATAATAATTTGTATTAAAAGACGACTTTCATTTTGTTAGTCAATAACCGCATCAAAACAGCCGCTTTCGCAAACAGCAATAAATATCAGTATCGACCGATGCCGTCAGCGTTATTAAGCGAGATTTAAATCCCCGGGAACGCCAGATTGTGCAGCGGAAAGCAATCGCGGATTCACGGAAAGCGAAATATCTCCTACATTACGCGCGCATATTATCAGCGTGCATATGTGCCGTTGTTTTGTCGGCGATTGTTCTGTCTCTCTGCGAAGAAGCGGGATGGTTTGCCGCAGAGGATCACAAATTATCATAACGACATTCCGAGGCTATCGCCAATGCCGTACGTTCGCCTATACGAGCTAAACACGATGATAGTTTTTATTTTCCAATGGAGAAAAAAAGTGTGCGACCTTTGATTTCATACCGGCACAATTTTCATGGGCGATACGCGCTATTTTAAGCAACGTTACAGCACACAGTAACTTTTATATATGTAAAATATGGTACTTTGTATATTTTATCAAGCAAAAGAAATTTGAAGAAAAATTAACAATGTTAATTTTGTTTATATTACATTGTATGACATGTACATGTAAATTTTAATCATCAATGATTTTAGATTATAATTGCTTTAACCGACCTCGGGAGGAGATACACGAAGGCATTTTTTAATTGCAGCCATATTCCGCATTCCGCGCGCGGCTCGAAACGTGACAGCGCGACCACGAGAGAGGCGCGCGGGAAACCGTAACGAAATCGTGATCCACCTTAATACGGGTCTCACGATTATTGCGAGAGACTGTCGCATCGTCCGTGGCCGCCGGGCATCGAAGCCATCGCCGAGCGGGACCCGCGGGAAGTATTTTACGTGCAAATGGAAATCACGGGTTGCGCAGCCAAGCTATTCCTCCACCTCCACGTCTTCCTTCTCGCCTTCCGAGAGCCCGAGATGTTATTAGGTGAAAAAAAAAAAAGAGAGAGAGAAGCTGGAGAGACGAGCCGTGAAGAAGACGCGGGCTACCGCACGCCGTCGGGAGCTGGGGAGCGATCCATTAAGCTCGTTAAGATTTAAATCCGGGGCCGGGGTACGAGGTTTTCCGTGCGGTTTCCGCTTGTCGGGCGTGGCGTCTGTTCTCCATCCATATAGGCGACCATACGTCCCACATCTTCAACACGATCTACGTTTTCTCTCCGCGGGGCCGCGCGAAGTGTGCGATAATCGAGCCGCGCGAGCTCGCCTACGTGGTAACTGTACATTGTGGGTCATTGCTTGCGATAAGTGCCCTGAATGTCCGACATTTTTGCGAGATGTTAATGGGCTCGATCTTGGACACCGCCGCGCGCGCCGCGGCGACACCACCGTATGTATACGAGCCGGGGATATATTCTCCTTTATCGATTAGCCATGCCTATCCTGACACGTAGACGTGTCGTAGAGAAGCGGTTATGGGCGAAATTAAATTTGCATAAACGTCCCAGGCCGGCTCGACCCGCTCGCTCGCTCGCTCCGCGGATTTATGCCCGTCTTCCGGGACGGAAATCGTGCGGCGGCTGGAGGGCATTTATTCTCCTAGAGGAAATTCACCCTACTTTTGACGATTATGCACGATTTCACGTGGCAATCTCGATCGCTTCGTCGCTGATCCGTCATTATCGATACGTAGAATATCCTTCCTCTTTAACGTTTTCCCGTTAATGACACTTTGACGACTCGAGGCTTCGAACTTCGTCGGACGCGTAATTACGAAGTTACTACCAGAAATTATACTCTCTCGGTGAGTTAAACTGTTAAAGAATGCGAAGCAGGCAGCAATATTGCTCTTCAGTTCATTTCGAACGAACTTTCTTTAAACTCGAAGCCCAGCCAGAACCCAGTGCTGCGAAATTGCAATGTTACATATAGTAAAACGATTGAGAATTATCGAATTCTTGTCAAATAAATGAACTAAAAATAAACAAGTGAGTTGTCGAATTCATCGAAGCAGCTGTTACGTCGAACAGAGCGATTAACGATTGAAAGGTTTCGAGTATTATTTACGGGCCACGTCTTCCGCCAAAACTCAAGTGCGAAATCTCCTCGATTCGCGATCGAAGATCCCGCGGTCCGTCGCGGCGGCTACGTGCGGGAACGCACGCGGTCGATCGATCTTACTTACGCGGATCCAATTGAGAGTGGCGTGGTATTTTTAACGGCGCCGATAATGCACCTGGCGCAATAATGCGCGCCTTGATGAATGAAGTGTATTTCTGCCGCGGTCCGTGGGAGTGCTCTCATTTTCCGAGATAATCGCGGGCTAGAAACTCGCCGATCCTGTTCGACCGAGCCGAGCTAGAGACTCGAGACTTGGCGAATCGGCTGCGCCGCGATCGTCGCGCACGTGTATATATATGTATGTACATACGCCTCTTATCGATAACGCGCGAACGGACGCATGATTATCGGATGCGCGCGTAATCGACTCGCGGTTACTCCGAATTAAATTGAGCGATAAGGCAATTAACGGGATTTCACGGGAGAGATTATCGACGCTCGACGCACGCGGTTATCGTTGTACGATCAGGGGGCGCGATTTAAGATTCGATCGCCATTTCCGCGAATCGTGCATAAATCGCGAAGGCTCGATGAGCTGTCACGGCGATCGGCTACCAGATTTCATACGCGGTTGCGCGATTGGATCCGTTAAATCGACGAGATAAGAGATTTTCCTCTCTCCGAGCGTGATTACAGAAGTCGAAGGTATAATTCAAAGATATAACAAATAGCTAAATAAGATCTGTGGTAAGACGATATACATCCGATATCGAGATGAAAATATCGTCGATATGAATATCGCCGTCCGTTCAAGTAGCTCCTTACCTTCGTACGAGATGTGGCGAAAATCCTCGGTAGCACGAACGATGGCGGCGAGGATCTGCAGCGTCATCGCGTACACGGTCCACCGCTCCATCTTGGCCGCGTGCGGTTCCCGCTTCTGCAAAGCGAAACATCGATTTTTCTTTTATTCTGACGCATCATTTTACGGGTCATATGGGAGCCGGAATCGATTATCAGACTTCTAATTGGGACGCGAGGCATCTCGGGTAGAACGCATTACCGGGGTCGAGAAGGCCTGACTAACGGCAGGATATTGGGAAAAGAGCGAAATGGTCAGAGAAATAGCCAAGAAGAGAGAGAGAATGAAAATAAGAGAAAAAAAAGAAAGGACAAATCGATGACAGAGAGAGGTAGTAGACCTCTCTCTCCATCTTCGTTCATTTCCTTGACATTTGCATGTCCGTGCCGTTAGGTTGGCGTTCAACAAAACGGCCTTGGACATTTTCTACGAGCGGGCGGACACGCTGAAATTAATTGCACGGAGATAAACCGCGCGGTTATCGACGACGCGATTAAGATCGATCGAGCCATTTCTGAATAATTCGCGATGGATTCCACCAACGATCTCTTCGATGATTTCCGGCAGCGTGGTTGGATGCAATTCACGTGTGTCACGTAATGTTCACCAATTAAGTTGTCGACGGCTCATCCAGTCGATCCGGAAGGAGCCCCAAGATCATTTTCACTGTCCCGCTAATCCTCCTGTTAATGCGAATCGTATCGCGACAATTAAATCCGCGGGTCCCGCGCGGCGATTAAATTGCGGCGTACCGTGATTTAAGTAATTGATTCGACGAGTTAATAAAACTGCATTATTAACTCCAGAAACTAAGTTAACTATATGACTATATGAGGAAATGAAACTGGAAACTATACGACACGCGACAATGAGAGAAAGTTGCGCGAGAGTTTCTAATTGTAATAGACAACGTAATCATTTATTTCGCCGTGAATTCACTCAATGTTAATTGATTATTACTGCTTTCTTTTCCTCTCTCCTAAGTGTGAAATATAAATCGCGTACATTTGCGTAAGTAAAAGATAATGGCAATAAGCCTTTTTAATTGAAAGCCTAATTCCTTTTGATTACAATTCCTTTCTTTCAACGCGGTTGAAAATTGTCTCTTTCAGCAGCGTATCAAGGCAAGAGAGCCTGAGATTAAACGACGACAAAGCGTTTCGTATAGATGGGACGAAGAGTGCAGCCCAGCACATGCCCAATTATCGCGCGACTATTTTAAAGGCTAGCCGAGTTAGTGCGCCACTCGTAGAATCGGCTTCTTACGACGCAGTATCATTTATGTCAGAATAATTACCGGATCGCCTTGAGATCGGGCAAAAATCGCGACCGGATCACGCTGTGTGGCTGGGATCCCCAGAGAAGCTTTGTATCTCGCCAGCGCTACCGCCCTTCTCGATCGACGATAATTAATTATGCGACCCGGAGCACTCGGATCAACAACGACGCTTCTGTCCTGTCAATTAACGTCCACCTTTGTTACTCGCATCCAGTCCCGCTCACAAAAAACTGTCGTGACTATCTGGCGAACGAACATGTACTCGATCAAAAATATATCACGACTTCACTCTTTCTTTGTGCACAAAAGTACCGTAAAAAAAAAAATGAACAATAGAATAGTGTCAATGGATAAAACATTATATTATTATTGATATAGTTACAATACATTGTGTCAGAACTGTATCCATTTAGACGATTTCGATAAATGTATAGTACAAATATAGAAATAGAGGTAGACATTTTTCTCATAAAATTATTTTCTTGCCATCTCACTCGTCACGATAAAAGCGCGGTCTAGACATTTTTCTCATAAAATTATTTTCCGACCATTTCACTCGTCACAGTAAAAGCGTGGTCTCTGGCAGATTTACATGGAAGATAAACCGCAATATAAATTGCCATGAAGATTATCCTATTAAAAAGAGAGTAATTATTAACCTTGAAACTTCAAAGGCGATTCTATTCGCCTCCGTTCCGCGACGGTGATCGCGTAAAAATGGTCTCGGATTATACGATAATTCGGTCGATCTCTCCTTTTACGCTTATTTTACAACGGTCAGCCGCGATTATCGCGTCCCAATTCGTTCCAGGCCTGGCGGCGACGAGGTGAAAAATAAAAAATAAAAAAGGTGGCAGGCCGGGGTATCTTGTACGTGCGCATTCACACCCCGGCAGCGATCGGGACGGCCTTAATGCACGCGAGAGGCTCCCGTGGAATGCAGATGCGCGTACGCGCCGCATCTCCAGCGAGATGATTTATTCGTCTTGGCGTCGTGAGATCCGCGCCTGTGTGTACGACGCGGGAGAATATGCTCTATGGCGAAATCCCGGCGTTGTACGTCACGCATCGATATTCATAAATGTCACAGCCCGGGCCCGTGTGATTCTGACAGATTGACCTCACGTCTTACCTCGCTCGTAACGTTACACTCGCTCGATCGCGACGACTTAGATTGACTTAGAGGATTAAATAGAGAGGCATAAAGCCGCTTACACAGCAGCGACGGAATTTTAGACCCCTTGGAAAAAGAAGAAGAAGAAGGAAATGCCATATCTTTATTTATTTAATCAGTTTATCATTAATCCACTACTGACGCTATGTCAAATAGAGCATCGATATTGAGCAACATTAATAGACAGCCACGGCACTCATATATTTATTTTTGTGATAACGAAGCAGTCTAGAGTGATTGAACGATATCTCATGCCGAAGGCACAGATTTAGCGGTTCTCGCAAATGGAATGAACGTTCAATCGTTGCGGACGACGACGACGACGACGACGACGATGACGACGATGGAACGTAGGTTTGTACGTTATCGAAAGTGCATCTGTGGATTTATGTACACGCACGTCAATGATGAATGGATCAACGAAATATCTGAAGGGGATGTCGTTATTATCGAAGAGCGCCTACGCTGCGAATAAGAAATATCTACCTAATTAAGCTGATAAATGCATGTTGTATGTGTACACGCGGTAATTTGTTAGAGGCTGTGTGCTCAGCGTTTCAGATGTTAATGTCAAGTGGAAAGCATGCTCTCTCGGGTTTGTCTATCACGTGAAACTTGCGAATCGGTACGAGCTACAAAGTAGAAGTATACACGATTACTTATGTATACTATATTTGATTTATTATATTTATATATCCATATTGTAGAACGCACGTGTTTCAGTACTCTCTCTTATCTTTTCTAAGAAAAGAATATCTTGCCTGTGAGAAAAAGAAAACGTTTATTCGTTGAGAATCATTTTTCTTCTTATTCTTTTATTTCTCAACAAGTTAAATTTCATTTTATTTCCGTACAATTTTAAGACAAATTTAAACAATTGACAATTTAAATTAAACATTATTAATAATATAATTTTTAAATTGTTAGACACACTCTATATACTGGGCTCACAGAGATTTAATTTCTCTAATCTTTATTATATCATATATTCGAGATTTAACGAGCTTCAAAATTATATTAAATTTCTTCGAATTCATATCTATGCAAAGGACCGTTGTGTAGTTCTTAGAATTTGACCATGTGTTAGCCCATCAAAGATCGATTAGAGTTAGAGCAATCACTGTATTCTTTGTTTTGGCCAATCTAATCGCGGCTTCATTTCGCCTATCGCTTCGCCATAATCACTCCTCTATCGTCTGTTTGCAGACTCACGTGTCGATGTTTATGAATTCTCGATCTATCCTCCGCGTATTCTCCGTATCTTATATACGGCATGTCGCGCTCGAGCTCAAGCTCATCCGTTATTTCGCTTGCATCCGTGGCCTCTATCCGCGCCCGGATCTCGGGTTCGAAGTAGCAGAATACACGTATCTATCCGTCCGCGTTTCTTATATTCGACAATCTAAGAAATGCGCGACGTTACTTTATACTCGTCGCGGACTCGACGCGGACATTTATGACTGCACCATTAGTCTTTATACTCGGCGTCCCGCGACGTGCCGAGATCTATCGCTATTTTGTGCCCGGACTTGCGTCCCGCTCGACTGCGTCTATCTATCCGCGGCGACCTATTTATATGTAAGTATATTCCAGAGAGAGAAAGAGAATGAGAGAAAGATTGTATATATACCACATAGCTTATTTTATTCCGGCGCGAAGTAAGACGCGTCTCACCCCGCGTTTACCGTGAGGTAAACTCGTAAAACTTCAACTCGTGAGAGTCGCGCGCGCGTGTGGACCACACAGAGCGATCCGGCGCGATCCGAAAGTCAAAGTGTACGTACACGAGGTAACACAATGGACGATCGGTATAAACTATTCGATGGAATGGAGCGATGTAAAGGAGTTAGAACGGGTGTCGTTTCTCGTGCCACATGCAGCGACGCATTGTTCACTATTTTACAAGCAGTGCGTCCTGCGTTCGAGTTTATCGAGTATCGTTTTGACAAAAACTTGCTTTTTATTAAAAGCTATCGCTTTTTTTTTAAAAAAAAAAGCTATCGCTTCCGGTGCGGATATCTATTTTAATGAATTTTACAAGAGCACTTCTTCTCATCATATTTTTCCTTTGATTTCGATCAAACGAATTCATCAGACTGTTTATAGCCATAATTTTATTTTATCATTGTAAAATAGTTTGTCGTTCTTCGCTGTGAATATTCTCCTTTGCAAAAGACAGATACAATATATCACCGTATGTTTGTTCACTATATACGCCCTCCCAGGTAGATAACGGCGTAATCGTTTATGTAAATTATTATGTAAATGGCGAAGCGATATTTTCGCTTACAATATTTTAAGGATTAACGATTGTCTCCATAAAAAGACCGGTCTCTCCGCGAGAGACCGTAACATATTTTGGCGCGGGCGCGTCAAGCAGCGTGGATACACCAAATCGATATTCGGGCAAGAACCGGTATATCGCAGCGTGATATGACTGTTGACTAAATCGATATTACGCTCCCATATTGTACGGTGAAAAGAGCGCCGCGGTATGTTCGTATATTGAAAGATAATATTGCCTAATAACACATTCCCGATCGCGCGCGTCGAAATAATTCATCGGCCGACTGTTCGACCGTAATTATTTTCCATTCAGACAACTGTCACATTTGTTCAAACAAA